GGGCTGTTGTGCCTTTGTCCGCGATACCTCCGCGGAGAAGCTTGTCAGTAGATCTGCACTGTGGATGCCTGATTGATCCTGGAGAGGGTTACAGGCGCGTTCGCCTGGGGAGTTATGGGCGCACTGACCCGCTACTTAACAAGCCCTTTTATCCCAGTGGTTAGTGGCTGGGATTCTGACATGTTATCAGAGCGAAGGTCTCGGGTTCGGGCATCCCAGTGTGGGGGGGTGTCAGAGGTCCACTGGTGATCCCCGATTGATCCTAGGGAAGGGTTACAGGCACGGTTGCCTGGGGGGTTATGGGCGCTCTCACCCGCTACTTAAACAAGCTTTTTTATCCCAATGGTCTAGTGGTTGGGATTCTGACATGGTATCAGAGCGGTCTCGGGTTCGATTCCCGGTGTATGCACATGTAGGCCGTTGCCGCTGTGCTTAGTCCTGGGCCTCCCAGTGTGGGGGGGTGTCAGTAGATCTGCACTGTGGATGCCCGATTGATCCTGGAGAGGGTTACAGGCGCGTTCGCCTGGGGGGTTATGGGCGCACTGACCCGCTACCGAAACAAGCTTTTTTATCCCAATGGTCTAGTGGTTGGGATTCCGACAAAGCTCTCCTCACGTGCCATTCCCTGCGTCTTCCTTGGATTTCCCCATGAGGCGCCTGGCTGGCAGTTTTACCACCCCACCTCGCGCCGTGTTCTACCCTCTCAGGACGTCACGTTCGACGAGTCGGTTCCCTTTTACCGTCTCTTCCCCTACCGCACTGCCCCTCTCCCCCCACCCCCCCCCCCCCCCCTCGCCGCTCTACCTCGCTCCAGGTCCCCCTCAGGTAGACCCCCTCCCCCCTCTGGGTCTTGCTCCTTTAGGTGTGTCTCAGGTAGACCCACTCCCCTTGGTTGAGCCTGTCGAGGTTACTGGTGACTCTGGTGCTGCTCGGGGTGCTGCGTCTAGGGATGCTGAGCCTCCGGTTGCGGAGCCTGAGCGTGCGGAGCCTGGAGGTGCTGAGCCTAAGCGTGCGGAGCCTGGGGGTGCTGAGCCTGCGGGTTTGGAGCTTGGGGGTGCTGAGCCTGCGCGTGCGGAGCCTGGGGGTGCTGAGTCTGGGGGTGCTGAGCCTAGGGGTCCAGCGTCTAAAATACGGGAGCCTCTCTCACCACAGGAGTTGCGCGAGTGGTACGCTCGGCGCTGTAGCCTTCGGAGAGGTGCTACTGGTGTTGGAGGTACTGGATCTGCTGGAGCTGGTGGTGCTGCTGCTGCTGGAGGTGCTGGAGGTGCCGGAGGTGCTGGAGCTGCTGGTCCCAGAGGTGCTCGTACTGGAGGTACAGGAGCTGCTGGAGCTGGTGGTGCTGCTGGTGTTGGAAGTATTGGAGCTGCTAGAGCCGGTGGTGGTGCTGCTGCTGGAGGTGCTGGAGGTGCTGGAGCTGCTGGAGCTGCTGGTCCCGGAGGTGCTCGTACTGGAGGTACTGGAGCTGCTGCACCTGGTGGTGCTGCTGGTGCTGGAGGTACTGGAGCTGCTGGTGCTGCGGGCTCTGTTGCTGGATCTGCTGGAGCTGGAGGCGCTGGAGCTGGAGGTGCTGGAGCTGGAGGCGCTGGAGCTAGAGGCGTTGTAGCTGGAGGTTCTAGATCTGCTGGAGGCGCTAAGGCTGTTGGCACTCGTACTGGAGGTGCTGGAGCTGGTGGTACTGGTGCTGGTGGTACTGCACAGCAGCGACTGTTCTTCGCTCCACCGTCACCGTCGTCTCTGCCACCGCCTGACTCGGTGCTTCGCCAGGTTCTTAGCCTCCTGTCTTCTACTGGCCTCACGTTACAGCCAGGCTACCTACTGCCTGCTCCTTCTCCTTTCACTGAGCAGTCGGACTCTCTTACAGAGCGTCGTGAGCCTGCGTCTCGTCCTGCCTCGCCTGTTCGCGCGGTTCGCACTAGTTGCCGTGTTCCGCGTCCGCGTCATCCTCCTGTTCCTAGCACACACACTATGGCACTTCGTCCTTCCCCTGCCGTCTCCTCCTGCGTCCTCTCTTCATGACAGTCCAGACCCTGAGTCTGACTTAGTTCGTGCTGCCAGTCCTACTGTCACGCGTCTCCTGGCTACTGTTGTCACTGACACTTCGTTTGAGTCCACTTATGCGTCTTCCCTAGTCGCTGAGCTTGTTGACTTTGCTGCTGCTTGTCGTCTCGACTACGCCGCTAGTCTTGTTGCTGAGTATGAGACTGACTGTCCTCCGTCCATCAGGGGTGAGTGTGCTCTTAGCATGGACGTCCTTGAGGACAGGCAGGAGGACTTTGAGTGTCTTGCAGCCGCTGTACCTCATCTTGTGGCCATGCTGCTTGCCTCTGAGGGAGACCCGGATGCACCAGACATCCCGACCCTCCGCTCTTACGCAGAGGTGATTACAGGTCCCTACTCCTCTCAGTGGCAGACAGCCATGGACGCAGAGATGGCATCCTGGAAGTCCACAGGCACTTACGTCAACGCAATTCCCCCTCCTGGGGCGAACATAGTCGATGGCATGTGGATTTTCAGGGTGAAGCGGCCGCCGGGTTCTCCGCCTGTCTTCAAGGCTCGTTACGTTGCACGGGGCTTTAGTCAGCGACAGGGAGTTGACTTCTTCCAGGCCTTCTCCCCTACTCCAAAGTCGACGTCGTCGCTCAACGTGACTACGAGCTTCACTCTCTTGACTTCAGCACTGCTTTCTTACAAGGCAGCCTGCACGAGGAAATCTGGCTGCGCCACCCACGTGGCTTCACTGGGTCGTTTCCTGCAAGTACCCAGTGGAGCCTCCGGCGGCCAGTCAACGGTCTCCACCAGGCGCCTCGTGAGTGGCACGACACACTGAGGACGACACTTGTGGCTCTTGGGTTTGTTCCTACGACTACTGACCCGTCGCTGTTTCTGCGCACCGACACTTCGCTGCCGCCGTTCTACATCCTCGTGTACATCGACGACTTGGTCTTTGCCACTGCTGACACTGAGGGACTGGCCCTTGTGAAGTCGGAGCTGCAGAAGAGACACACGTGCACAGACCTGGGTGAGCTGCGCAACTATCTTGGCTTGCAAATTACCCAGGGCAGAGCACGCCGCACCATCACCCTGACTCAGTCACACATGGTGCAACAGGTCCGTCAACGCTTCGGCTTCACTTGGTCCTTGCCACAGTCCACTCCTCTGCCTACCGGTCACTCGCTCTCAGCTCCACCTTCGGACGAGTCCGTAAAGCCGAGTGGCCGGTACCCAGAGCTAGTGGGCTGCCTCATGTACCTGATGACCTGCACTCGACCTGACTTGGCATACCCTCTTAGCATCTTGGCACGCTATGTTGCTCCTGGGAGACACCGACCAGAGCACATGGCTGCAGCAAAGAAGGTGTTGCGCTACCTGTGCAGTACGTCGGGCATGGGGCTAGTGCTTGGAGGACGGGCTCGAGTTGTCCTCACTGGTCACGCAGACGCTTCTTGGGTTGACGACTTGGCTACGCAGCGGTCGTCACAAGGTTACACTTTCAGCCTTGGCTCCGGTTCTGTGGCGGTTTACGCGCTCGTCTTCTGTTCTTAGTTCCAGTTGTGAGGCTGAGTTCTACACAGGTGCCATGGCTGCACAGGAGTTACGCTGACTCACCTACCTGCTGACCGACTTGGGAGAGCGGCCTAGTTCTCCTTCAGTTGTGTACGTAGACAACAAGGCCATGATTCCGTTATGTCAGGAACACAGACTGGAGCATAGAACGAAGCACATCGCTCTGCGTTACTTCCTTGCTCGAGAGTTGCAGCAGCATGGTCAGCTTCGTCTTGCTTACGTGGCCACTCGGGCCAACACTGCTGATATATTCACCAAGGCACTTTAGCCTCGTGATCATCAGCGTTTTTGTACCGTTTTAGGTCTTGTGCCTACTTTCTCTCATTTGCTCATTGCGTGACTTTACTTGTACTGTGATCTGTATATATACTTGCATGCTTACACTTGCTAGGTAGTGATCACTGCACTGTTTGCTCTGTTTTTATATAACTCTGCATGTGAACTGACCTTGTGGCCATTTTCTTGTGCTTAGAATGCATGGTGACTTTGTGATCCACCCCGAGCTTGCTTTGCTTTTCTTGACTGGTCTTATGACCACTGGTTCTCCCCCACTTTGCCTATTGGGGTGTGTCAAACTGTTATCATGTTAGCCCATATAGGGTACAGCCCAGTTTAGGGTTTGCACTTGTACCGGAATTCTGCTCAATGCAATCATTCCTGCTCATTAGATTCTAACAGTAGATGTTCTAGAGACATAGCTTGCGTCTGGTGCTCCTCTTTGTTTCAACCTCACGAACACAGCTCAAGTTAACAGCAAGCATCACTCTTGGAAAAAAGGGGGGGTGGCGAGGGAGTTGGAGTAGGAGGGGGAGCCAGGCTAGGTAAGGCTCGGAAGAAATGAGGGGGAGAGCCAGGCTAGAAGGAAGAGAGGTGGGGGTAGAGGGGGAGAGCGAGGCTAGAAGGAGGAGAGGTGGGGGTAGAGGGGGAGAGCCAGGCTGGGTAAGGCTCGGAGGAATGACGATTAGCATGCACAGGATGGGAGGAATGAATAATAGCATTCGGGGGCTGGGAGCATGAGTGCGCAGGTGCATGTATGTGCGGGTGCATGTATGCGCGGCTGCATGGATGCGCGGGTGTATGTATGCTCAGGTGCATGGATGCGTGGGTGCATGGATGTGCGGGTGCATGGATGCGTGGGTGCATGGATGCGTGGGTGCATGGATGGGTGGGTGCATGGATGCATGGGTGCATGAATGCGTGAGTGCATGGATGCGTGAGCAGGCACATGGATGCGCGTGTGCATGGGCGCATGCAGCAGCGATAGGGTGGCTGGGAGCAACGGCAGTGGGGGATAGTCCTCGTCCTCACCCGGTCATCACCCAACCCTGTCGTAGCGCCATCGCTGGTCAACGAGAGTCGACGCGAGCCAACACGAGTCAATGCGAGTCAATGTGAGTCAATACGAGCGAACACGAGTCAACGTAAGTCAACCGCACCTTGAGGTTGTTGAGATCGTTTTCCAGAAAGTTGGTGATTCTGCCATGCAGCACGTGCTCCATCTGCACACAGGGGGTTGGGGGAATGGGGGGGATGGTGGGGAGGGGGAAAAGGAAGGATGGGGCGCCTCACCAAACCAAGCTCGTAATTCGATCATGCAGCACGTGCTCCATGAGCCCACGTGCACGCCACACAGAAATACAGGGGGTGAGGAGTGGTATGTGATAGAAGAGGAACATCAACCCGTGGTACAAGAACGAGTTTGTGAGTGAAGAGCGTGAGCCCTAAACCTCTCCAACTTCCCCCCCTTGGACACTAAACCCATGACATTTTGAGTCGACTCAAAATGAGTTGACTTTTGAGTTGACTTTTAAGTTGACTTTTGAGTTGACTTTTGAGTCGACTCAAAAGTCCCTTGGACACTAAACCCACGACATGTGAGTTCGTGCCTTGGACACAATTTCGCTTGCAATGGACGCGCAGTGCACTGCACTGTGGTATAAGAGGGGTGTGTGAGGTGCTTGCCTCGGTGAGGCCTTGAGGTTTTGAGCATCTCCTTGAATATGGTGAGGTCTTGCTGCATCATCACCAACTGCCCCAGCACAGGGCCTAAACGGGACTATGCATGCCATGCCGTGCATGTGGGACATCTATGGCATTCGCCTTGGGATTTGAGCGTTTTCTTGAATACAATGAGGTCGCAGTGCAGTGTGATTGCATTGCCTCGACACAGGGCCTGTACAAGACTACGTGCACTACACGCTGCACTCTGGTGTGGTGTGGGGCACACGTGGTGTTTGCCTGCTCGCGGTGCTTGCCTGGGATTTAAGAGTCTCCTTGAATATGATGAGGTCGCGCAGCGTCATCACCAACTGCCCCAACACCGGGCACAAACGTGAAACGAAGGTGTTGGGCAGAGGTGCATGGCAGAAAGCAAGGGGCGGGGGGATGGACGGGGTAGGGATGGGAGGAAAGGGGAGGGAAGGAGTGGGAAGGGGAGAAGCATGGGAGTGGATAAGGTGATAGTGAGATCCATACAGTGTCATCACAGATAGACAGGCCTGGCACAGGGCTTGGCAAAAGATGGGCGTTCAGATACGTGGAGGCATGAAGGGGAAAGGAGCAACGTCTTGCATCAGCATAACCACGCCACGCTCGCCAGCGGACTACACCGGCACCCTGCGCAGCTCACCGCCCATTGGTTGGGGTTGGGGCTCACCGCCAGTCGCGATGGTGACTGTATCCTCCGGAGCACCAAAGAAGCGCTCCATGGTGTGCACGAAGGCACTCTCCACCTCGAACGACTCGCCCAGGGAAGCCCTGTTGTGTGGGGGAGAGAGAAGTGAGGAGGCACGAGGTGAGTGTTAAATCCAGCAAACGGTGGGAGGAGGAAAAGCCACTCCATGGCGTGCACGAAGGCACTCTCCGCCTCAAATGACTCTTTCAGGGATGCCCTGTAGTGTGGTTGGGGGCGAGAGAGAGGATTGGATAGGAAGGGGTGCGTGAGGGGAGTCACACGTTGCGGGTCAAGAGAACCAACCATGCGTGGTGGGAGGAAGAGCCGCTCCATGCGTGCACGAATGCGGCTCTCCGCCTCAAACGACTCGCCCAGGGACGGTGGGGGCGAGATAGAGGGATGGAGGGTATGGGGAGCCATGAGGGGTGCATGGGGAGCGACGCATTGAGGATAAGCATGCGGTGTGATATGGGGCCCCTGTATGCACTGAACACACGCGGACGCTCTCTTGTGACCTACTTACAGACCTGGCTAGAAATGCACTGGCACGGATAGGGGGCTGGGAAGTAGCGGATATGTGACGCAACCAAATTGGGCGCGAGTGGTGAAGGAATAGACAGGATGAAGCAGCAGGGCGAGGGGACTCACGCGAAGTCGTTGCAGCTGCGCGCGAGCTGGCAGCAGCAGTCCTTCAGTAGCTCAAGACTCTCCTCCAACGACGCTAGCTGCGGGGACATGTGTGCGGAGAATAATGCGCGGAGGGTTTATGCAAGCGCGTAGGACTATAAGGGATGAGGGAGCGAAGGGATCAGATGTGCAGGTTCCGAAGGACTCGAAAAATGGGCGAAAGCATGCAAAATGGTTACAAGGAGACGATAGTGGACCAAAGGTCTACCACCCTACAGCGCTAGAGACAATGAGCCTTAGCGACGGAAAGAGAGAACAATCGCTTTCACGCTTCAGGGTTCAACGATGCAATGCGACAACTTTTCGTCCAGCTCTCGCCCTAGATCCCATCTGATACTGCCAAACCAAGCCACGCAATATTCTCCGACTTGAAGGGGCCGTTTGTGATTGATACGCATGGAACGAACAGCGACGCACCATGCGTCTTTGTTTTTTTATGACGGATGGAGGTAGTTAAGCGAATTTAACACGTCTTCCTTCGATCTGGCACTAGCGACGACATTATGATGGCGGAAACGAGCAGAGCGAAGCGGTGTACCTGCTTGCGCATCATTGACGTGTCGTCTAGCCGCGCGAACAACATCCTGGTACTCTGTTGTCAATCGAACTGGGAGTTTCGAGGTTGCAATTGCGAGAAAACCAGCAAGATAGAGCGATGACGGCTGACGATGCTACTTTGCGACGATACGCGACACAACAAGGTCATAAAATCTCCTCCTTGATGGTCGCAAAGGCTAGGTCGAACACTGACTGCCGGTGCTAGGACTAATTAGAGGCTACTGCTGCAGCTAGCTAGCATCACCAACTGCTTCTTTGGAGACTAGGGAGTTTCGATTTGGTCTGACACGCCTAGCATTGGATGATGGCGTGGGAGGAGATTAGAGTTTTGCCTCGCTGGCGAATCGCCAACCCGCCAAGTCACAAAATATTTTTTAGCAAAACGCGAAATGCTCGCGCTGCGTTAACAATAGGAATTGTCTAGAGGTATTAAATGGCTAGCAACTATCAAGCATTCTCCCACGCTACTATCAAGTTTATACTCTAACTATCAAGGATTCTCTGACTACGCCGCAACATAGGGCTTCCGCTGCTGCATTTCTATGCCACTGAAACTCTCTTTCGACAAACTCGGACCCTTGGATAGGGGCTGACTTCGGTCAGGCACCCAAGGACCCTCGGAGGTGACCCCGAGCAGAGTTGTTACAGCTATCGTGGTACTATCAGCACTAGGAACTAGGTGATCTACAAGTTCCATATGTTTACCCTGTTGAGTGCAAAATGTAGTTTGCACGTCAACCTACTGCCTATTCACCGACGATAAAGGAAAATGCGAGTTTTTGTTTTAAGGTAATTCGTAGAGTGTGAGGAGCGCATTTGTGTGCTTTATATTTGTGTGTTTACGGTTTGTGAATCGCCTTAGCGGTTCATCAGTTATGTGCAATTTTGTGTGTGAGTGCATTTCATGAATGTTCATGAGTTTCCGTGTGAGCGCATGAAAGTTCGTGAGTTTTGGTAAGTTCGCGTGAGTCCGCGATTGTTCATGAGTCTGCGTGTGCGCTCATTTGTTTCTCATGTGTTTTCGTGAGTTTTCGTTAGAGTTCATGATAGTTCATATTTTTCGTGAGTTTTAGAGTGTGGCGAGTGTTTTGTCACTTTGACTGTTTTGTGCTGGTCAAGGTCAACCGAGCGCGAATGTCAGGGACCCGCATGTGGCGTCCTGACACGCGCGTGTGGCCCCTCAGGCCTCGTGCGTGTGCCTTGCACTGTTGCGAGCGTGGCAGGGCCCACGATCGCAACAAGACAGGGGACATTACAACCCTGTCCTCGCGTAGGACAGCGCACATTGTCAAACTTATATGCCATAGTCTGTGTAGGCTGTAGTGGGGTTGACAATATAGGGTACAACACTTTTAGGTTTTCCTACTTGTACCCTATATTGTCAACCCCACTACAGCCTACACAGACTATAGCATATAAGTTTGACACACCCCCATAGGCAAAGTGGGGGAGAACAAGAGGTCACAAGACCAGTCAAGCAAAGCACAGTAAGCTCAAGGTGGATCACAACGTCACCACACATTCCGAGCACAAGTTCAAGGCCACAAGGCCAGTTCACATGCAAGATTATATATATAAAGGTAAACAAGCAAGTGCAGGTATAGATGGATCACAGTACAAGCAAGGTCAAGCAGTGAGCAAGTGAGGCCAAGTAGGCACAAGACCTAGCATCGTACAAAAGCGCTGATGAGCACAAGGCGGAAGTGCCTTGGTAAAGATATCAGCAGTGTTGGCCTGAGAGGCCACGTAAGCAAGGCGCAGCTGACCACGCTTCCTAGTTCATCCATTCCTCATTTCTCCACATGGTATAGAGCAGGTTCCCTAGTGGGAACTTTTCCTTGGGCCCACCACTAAATTTTTTTTTTCTGCCCTGAGATCGAGTCGCCCCTGACCGAGGCGCGTCCTGTGGGCCGCCCCCCCCCTTAGCGGCCCGTCGCGCCGCCCTTAGCGGCCCCACTCACGGCCCCCACTCACGGCCCCGTCGCCAACCTTAGCGGCCCCGTCGCCGCCCCTTGCGGCCCGGCCACCCTCTCGCGGCCCCGTCGCCGCCTCCGCGGCCCACCCGCCGCCCTTCGCGGCCGCGTCGCCGCCCTTTCGCGGCCCCGTCGCCGCCCTCCAAGCGGCCCCGTCGCCGCCCTCTAGCGGCCCCGCCGCCGCCCTTCAGCGGCCCCGTCGCCGCCCCACTGCGGCCCCGTCGCCGCCCTCCAGCGGCCCCGCCGCCGCCCCCCAGCGGCCCCGTCGCCGCCCTACCGCGGCCCCGTCGCCGCCCTCTAGCGGCCCCGCCGCCGCCCTTCAGCGGCCCCGTCGCCGCCCTACCGCGGCCCCGTCGCCGCCCTTCAGCGGCCCCGTCGCCGCCCTACCGCGGCCCCGTCGCCGCCCTCTAGCGGCCCCGCCGCCGCCCCTCAGCGGCCCCGTCGCCGCCCTCTAGCGGCCCCGCCGCCGCCCTTCAGCGGCCCCGTCGCCGCCCTACAGCGGCCCAGTCGCCGCCCTCCAGCGGCCCCATCGCCGCCCTACAGCGGCCCCTTCGCCGCTCTGTGCGGCCCCTCACCGGCCCTGCCGCCGCCGTCGCTGAGCCGCCGCAGCTGCAGCCGAGCCGCCGAGCCGCCGAGCCGCCACCGAGCCGCCGAGCCGCCGCCGAGCCGCCGGGCCGCCGCCGAGCCGCCGCCGAGCTGCCGAGCCGCCGCCGAGCTGCCGAGCCGCCGAGCCGCCGCCGAGCCGCCGCCGAGCCGCCGTCGAGCCGCCGAGCCGCTGCTGAGCCGCCGAGCCGCCGCCTCCGCAGCTGCGGCCCTGTTCCTGTCGGCGCGCCCCGGCCCTCCCCACCCGGACTGGTGAGAGCTTTCCCGAGAAGCGTCTCTGCCACTGCACTGCCTCTAGCCTGCCCCTCTCACCACTAGACTGCTGCTGTCATGGCTACCCCCAGTGTCCTTACCTTTGATGCTGAGGGTCGGGCTGTTGACTTTGACGTCTGGGTCCATGACTTGCAGCTTTTCCTACAGTGCGATAGGGCAGACGGCCTCTCCCTTTTCGATCTCACGTCTGGTGCCTATCCTGCCCCGCCTGCTGATGCTGATGCCACTGTTCGCTCACAGTGGGCCACGCGCGATGCTTCTGCTCGCCTTGCTGTGCGCCGCCACTTACCGACCGCTGAGCGCGTGCATTTTAGTCCGTACAAAAGTGCTAAGACCTTGTACGACGCTGTCGTTGCACGCTACTCTTCCCCTGCCACTGCTGCCCTTAGCCGCCTCATACTGCCGTACCTCTTCCCTGACCTCGCCGCTTTTCCCACAGTCGCTGACCTCATTACGCACCTTCGCACTAGTGACATTCGCTACCGCGCTGCGCTTCCTGCTGAGTTCTGCGCCAAGAACCCCCCCCCTATGTACATCACCCTCTACTACATAGTCACCCGGCTCCCTGACACCCTTCGCTCGGTCAGGGACCACTTCCTCTCTGTTTGCCCCACCACCCTCACCGTTGACCTCCTCGAGGAGCGCCTCCTAGCAGCAGAAAAGATTATAGTCGTTGTAGGAGCCTCTCGTGGTGACCCTCGTACCCCTGTCTTTGAGGGGTGCTCCCCCTCCCCCCTCTTGCCCTCTGTTGCCTCTGCTGCTGCGGCCGACCTCGTTGGTCTTGAGTCGGCCGGCGCGGCGTCTGCCCCTAGCGGGAGACGCCGCCCAGGCAAGGGCAAGGGGGGCAAGGGCGCTGGAGGGGCTGGCGGGGGCGGTGGAGGCGGCGGTGGAGGCGGCGGAGGGGGTGGGGGTGGCGGTGGGGGTGGTGGCGGGAGTGGGGGCGCTAGTGGCGGCAGTGGAGGCGGAGGAGGCGGCGGTGGTGGCGGTGC